AATAGATATATGAATAAACTGGTTAGATAATGGAGATATTGCTTATATTTATGTTATGCACACCTTGGTACGCTCGTTTTCGGCTTTAGTCGACAAACTTCATTCTCGCAAGTAATGACCAGATTACTCACCAGTAATGACCACATTTGTCACTAGTTGAATTGTATAATATTACATCACTTCCCTTCATTGAAATCAACCTGAATCTCAGTAATATGAAGGGTGTGGAATAAGTGATCACTTTGATTTCACAAAGTTATCTTTTTTTGAAAAAAAATGTATGAACATTTGTCCTACCTTTCTTCGTTTTCAAATTATAGGGTATCAAAGATTTGATGAAAATCGGTTCGTCCTAAACTCTTTCCGCCGATTACGATGAAAAATAATGAGTTTGATTGGAGTTACTATCGCAAATGATTTTTCATGTTAGCAGATTTCAAATAACCAACAATGGTGGCATCGCAGAAGGTCAACTGATCGATATCTTTAATCATTATACACAACTAATTTTCAATGTTACGAAGGAATTCATTAGATTGAACAGTTATAAATAATGTTTTCTGATGCTCAGTTTTTTAGAACAAAAAATTAAAACGAATTCCTAATACGATCTCCAACTATAAAAAAGGCTAATTACATCATACTCTAGGCAGCTTGTGTCAAAAAAGGGCAGTTTGCGGGAAGTTTTGGAAGAGTTTTGAAATTTGGTTCTATATGATATTTTGGGCTTCCGAACACGAATCCGATGTTTGCCAACAAAATTTTTTACGAAAAATAGGTTTTTTTTTGCAAAAATTGTGAAAAAAATCGACTTCGTTTTGGTTTTTTGCAAATAACTCGAAAACTACGCATTTTTGTAGGAAGATCACCTGTACTGAATGAAAGGAAATAAAATTTTCTACATTCTATATCATTGAAGTATTTTTTCTACAGTCAACCATTAAGCCATGGGAGAACGCTAAAAGTGAGGGAAAACCCCCAAAACTCCAAACATTGGGATTTTCGGCGATTTGACACGGGAATGCAATAATGAAGGAATTATTCGTTAAACTCACACTGAGTTGTCTTGTAGAAAAATTCTTGATTTCTACCACAATTGTCGGTAACTGTTTAAGTAAAATTTAATACATTTCAAAGGATTCCCTGACTTAAAGTTCACTTACCTTTTACAGCTATGAGTTGAAAAAAGATACTGAAACCCTTTTCTATGCTAATTCTGCTAATTCATCCAGTAGGCAAATGACCTTCACTGAATAGTTTTGAAGTGAAAGCAATAAAAGCTAACGGAAAATTCCTCAATGGAATGATTTCTTTTCAAAGTAAACAAAAGAAAATCTTTTGGTAAAAGACTTGGGGTCACTGGCGTAGGAATCTTTCCAGTGACCTGTGTGCGAACTTTCAAATGTGGCCCGTGTGTGTATATGTACATATATTATATAGTATCAAAGGGAAAAAATGTCAAATATACATTGATATATTGAGCTTTCAATAAGCAACATTTTACTAGAATTGAAATTGAAATATTAATGGAAGCTGAAAATTGAAAAATCAAAAATATAATTAACAAAAAATTAAAAAATTCGATTGTTAAAATCCATAATCATCTTTGGGTGATAACTGAATTTATTTCTCCGAGATCTGACTATTTATAAGTCATTCGAGTGCTTTCACCTATCCCCTCTTTTCTCTCTCCGCTTCATCGGTTTTAGCGG